GCTGGCTGCCGTAGGCGGGGGCCACATCCTGACCTTCTCCCAGGAGGCTGGAGGGCTGGTCACCTAAAGCTTGTGCCAGGAGACCCTCTGCCTTTAGAGATCCGACTCAAGTCAGCAGGGAGATGTCAGCAATGGCACGCATTTCGTGTGTAACCTGTTAACGGTGGCATTCAGTGAGCACCGTGATCTGGCATGGGGTCCTGGGTCCTGGCGAGCCGCAGGGATGGGTATGCCGGCCACAGGCAAGCCACATGCCTGCACCACAGTGTGAGCAAATGCCAAGGCTGAGCCAAGACAGCAGCACCAGCTGGGACCTGGCAGCCTCCAAAACGGGGAGACAGGTAGGGGGGTGGGCATCCCTTGGTAGGGCAGCTACAGGGCCTGGTGTTGGCACCACAGATGGCAATCAGCAGTGCTGGGGCTCGCTAACGAGGCACTTGCCTACCCGTATCCTCCCTCCACGTCCCTCAGCTCCATCGTGGAGCAGAGCAGGGCAGGTACCATGGCAGGTACCGTGGGAGCTGGGGCACGGCAGCGATTTACATCCAGGCTGGAAACTGGGTGCTCCTGCCGGGTGCGATGGGTGAGGAGCAGAGGGGTCCCTGGGCAGGGCAGCCCAGCCACTTGTGCTGTGCAGGATGTGGGTGAGGTGGTGCCTTCCAGCCTTAAAGCCAAGGAGCTGGTGAAGCCATTGCTCCGCACAGGGCTATGTCTGCCACCATCACGTGCTCAGGCCTTTACGTCCCAGCTAAGCCCCGCATCTCTCCACAGCAGAGGCACCAGTGAGGATCGTTGGCTCCAACGAGGAGGACCCCCACGCCTACATGGCCGGGCAGTGTGTGGAGCTGTGGTGCCAGCTGTCCCGCCCAGCACCCCCAGTGCACTGGTACAAGGACGGGGAGGAGGTGGAGGCAGGCGAGAGCCTGGTGCTGGAGCAGGAGGGGCCGCGGTGCCGGCTGGTGCTGCCATGTGCCCGGCCACAGGACACGGGGGGGGTCATCTGTGACGCCAGGAATGCGTCTGTCTCCTC